CCCCTCTCCTATCATCTAGGAACAATGGCTGCGTTCAGAACTATTATGCAATGGCATAAAAATCAAAAGTGAACGTCAAGATGCGTTCAGAGAATATAACGATTGTACCCCTGAATGTACCGTGATCGGTGAATGGGCTCGAATGACCGGTATTTCTCTCCTGCAGTTGCGTTTTTCACGCTTTTCATCCCCCGTGGAACCGAACAAAAGTTGTTCCCGAGTGTAGGAAGTACAGGACGGGACACAGGTAACCAGGAAGCGTGCAAAAAATCGCACGATAGGACAACGAAAAGGAAAACTTTGTTTTTTTTTCTTTTTTTTTTCCTGTTTACTCACGATTTTCATATCCATCCTTGTGCAATGAATCTGCCATGCTTGGGCTTATGCGACTCCCAACTCTTGCTGAAGCAGTGCAGGAAATCAAAACGCGCACATGAAACGGTTATGATCAGAAGATGATCATAAGAAAATAATCGACTTGAGATTTAAATGCGTAAAGAAGGAAAATTTCGGAAGGTCAAGGCACATTAGATTACACAAGAATCTTCGGTCACACTCGATCACGACACCGCGAACGATCTCGTAATGATACTCGTGCTCGTTTCGTAATGATACTTTTGCGTGGTGTCTACCATCTTTGACGGAAATGGAAAGACTAGTGAATAACACTAGTTCCTTTCAGCTGCGCTATGTTGCACTTTCTGCGCTCAAGTAGCATTAAAAGAGGAAGGAAGCATGAAAAACTTAATTAAAAAGAATGCATCTGCTCGTCTGAGTTGCATCTTCCTCGCTTTTTTCTCTCTCTAGTGTTGAAATAGGCTTCTTTTATTAAAATTATGTTAAAATTAAAACTTTGTTTATAAATTATCGTGTCAATTTCTCTTTATCAATTTAGAGATTAACTTTTTTTTCCGGTTTAACTGATTCTTTTATCGTTTTTTAACTCTTGAAATTAGGAAAAAAAGTTAATCCATTTAGTAAAAAATTGAACATTGATAAACTTAATATCTCGTTAACAAAATTGAAAAAAAAATTTAAGTCGTTAGTAGTTTGATTAATTAGACAAATAAAAAGAAAAAAACATTTTTCACATTTTATACTTGAAGACCTTAGTCATAATTTCTTAATTTATTTAGTATATTAATTAATTATATAAAATTCATGTACGTTAGATATATTTTTTATAAAACACTCATATGACTTCGAAATTATTTATCATAATGATTAATAAAGCACAGAGACAGCCTAATCATTGATAGTATTATAGTGTAAGGCAATATGATACAATTTAATAACATCAATATGATTAATGATCTCAATTATCAAGATGATCAATAATCTTAATTATTAACAATAGATTGAATTGTAAAAGGATGTCTTATCAAAACTTGTATTAAAAGGAAAATTAAATTAATTGAAATCTCTCTGAAAATGTAAGTATTTTAAAAGACTATAAAATATATAGATGAACACAAAGAGTTCATAAAATTCTTCTTTATCACTATTCATTACGAACGATAATTAAAATTCAGTAATAATTATTTATATATAATATTTAATAATATAATAAAATATAATTAAGTTTGAAATTAATTGTTATCTTTCCAAGTAGTGCGCGCATAAAATAGACTGAAGTTAGAACGTTAGATATGTTAAATTATGTTTATTATAAGGTGTATCTAATATATATATTTACAATCGCTTTAATACACGTAAAACCATTTAAGACAATGTATCCATTATTCCTCGGCGTTACAGCGCATCTCACCGTAACGCTGGCAAATTGTGTTCCTACATTATCGTTTTTATCTCCGTGAAGTGTACACGATTTCGGTATCATCATGGGTATTTGTCTATTGTGTACCTGAGGCAAGGACCGTTGCTTGCATTAATACGCTTGCAGATAGCAAGGCTTCGGGGTAAAGCAAGTAATTCCAAGAGAGAGATATATATATATATTCTTCTTTCCTCCCTTTCGTTTCCCTTTTCCCCCCCGCGCGCACAGCACTTCTCTATCGCCTAGAAAATTATTCTACCCCTAATTCGCATATTCACTGTTATACTCGATCGTACGTCTAACTTAGATCCATAATATGCGTAGTACACGGTTCTACATTTGTATCGTTCGGGGACGGATTATGTCGGAAAGCCGAGAAAGAGAGGAGCGTGAACTGTTCAAGACGACGTCAAGTGAAAGACGTCGTTAAAGGTGTTATATTATATATAATATATCATATATTATATTACATATAATATATGTGTATGTATATGTGAGGTATGTTTAGGCTGAATTGCACGAGACACCCAACTCTGGTTGGCGATTCTCTGTCTTCTTTTTATCCACGCATTACTACATCCATCAAATAAAAAGATACATAAATTAATTAAAATTAATATTGAATAATTATACTGAATTTTTAGTATTCCACATTGTATGCTAATATCACCTTATTAAATTAACTTTTTATTTGCATTGACTATCCGGATTAATAATTTGTCCGATAATTTCTCTTTGAGTTAAGAAGAGTGCAAATATAGATGATATAAGTCGATTCTTATAATCGGTCCTTTTCATACAGGGTGTTGCAAAACTACGAGCTATATCGTAGTCACCTGTAAAATAATTAAAAAAAAAACTCAATCAATAACAGAGAATGCAAATTTGTTAGCCAACCAAAATTGACATAGACTAACTTTGTTGCAATTCGCCAGATGTCGATCCTGGATCTATATGTTCGTTCTTAGGGGCCTGAATAACGAAACAGAGTCTCAATGCGAATTTCTTTATGGTCTCATCCTACGGATGTTCGTGATATACGTCGCTGCTGGTCGCGCGCGACGTTTTGCAAGTGAACATACAGGCATTTCGAAATTTCCGACACGTACGATTTGGCTATGCCCGCCCCCGCAATGCGCTATTCAACGTAACATTAAGTGAAGTTTTACATACTCGTTCGCAACCAGAAACGCCCCACGTGTATTTTATATTTTTCGGATAAAGGTCACTTTCCCGCGATTAAATCGATAAAGCATCACATCGTAAATTCTCGTCAAAGTCCAAATTTAGTATATTATTCTCATACATATCACACATTCACCTCACACGTATGCGCACCGCAACGTTTTCCCATTATAGTTACACTCTAAGTTATCTCTGCTTTTCTTTTTCTCTAATTTCCTTTTGACATCGATAAAAAATTATATATATATTTATATATATATTTTTCATATATATTTCAATTATTTTATCATTAATTAATTAATTGTTTAATTAATTAATTAATCGTTACATCTTATTGTTCCATTAAAGTTTAAACTAAAGTGTTCTCTGCGTGTGGTATACGCACCTCTGGCAAGTACCACTCAATATACATATATACATATATATTTATACATATGTACATTCATATACACATATATATAAAGACATAAGTACATATATATATTTGTAATATATAAAGAGAGAGTATCAGTCACTTATATATTTATCTATATTTTTCATTTCTTTAATAAGTATCATCATGAATAACTCACAATATCTAACTATGCTGCTTTGAGATTAATTGGGTAATCGGTGCAAATAAGACATTAAATGCTCCTACTGTACCAATAATTGTTTATCGCGTAAGGTAAACCATCAGATTTCCGCAGCCGATTGCAAATATCCTTGACGCGTTTATAATTTATAAATATGAACGTCCCTCATTTTAAATTTGGAACATGTTTTCTCATAAATACAAATGTTATTAATTTTATTCATAACAAAACATTCATTTTTTCGCACAATAATATACAAAAATGGCATGATACTCAATATTCTTTTATCTAAATAGAATCATTCCTATAAATAATTATCTAGTTCTATTAATATTGCAATATGTACGCCATCTCATAATTGTTTTGGTAAAATGGCGTATTCATAAAAATAAACTAACACCTTTCCAAGTATCCATCAACATTTTGCTCTTTAGTACAATGTAAATTTTTCTTGGATATTTTCTGGTTGTTTCGCGTCTTAATACTGGGATGATACTTTTATCATAAAATTTTTTTGATTTTATCTAGCCACACAAATTCATTCAATCTATGTATATGAACATTTAACATAAATGCTACTGGACGATAAAACATTCACTGCTTGTAAAAGACTCAATTTTCTAATTAAAGCGAAATGATATAGTTATTGGTGTATTTGTAGTACCGGATGAACAATTAAAATTAATTCTCCCAGATACTGTTTGATTCGTGATATTTTTTAATATCACGAAATAAAATTTCTTCCAAAGACTCGTCTGAAAATTCATTGTATACGAGTTACCGCAACCTATATTATAGAGAATGCGATTGAAATACACGAACAAATTTATACTTTTCTAAAAATTACTCGCTTTATACCAATTCAATTAATATATAGAATGTGGTTTAAATGCTCGAATTAATTTACAATTTTCTAAAAATTATTTGGTTTCCATCACAAAATTCAATTTATATAAGTTGCTTTATGAAATTTTAATTATCTCTCTCTATTCCCGTATTGTCTTATTCGATCAAAATATTGAAGACGCGATATCCAATCAACATTCTAGCAAAGATATATTATTTTAAAAATAACATGAGAATCACATATTTTTGATCGAAGAGCAAAATGGAAGGCGAATGTTTGTCGCCATAATATTATTTAGTACGCTCTTTCTTCTTGCGATGCTATCGCTGTTAAATGAATGACAAACACAAACATGTGATACATGATTTTAACTTTCTAACATCTTCAAGTGTATCGCGACAATGATAATTAAAAAAAAAATGAATTTAATTAAAATTAGAGGAAATATAGTTGGACGTTGCTTTACGAGCAAAGCGAATGATCGGTTAGGCTTCTTTAGAATGTTCATCAATGTGCGTCGTATATCGGCGACGATAAATTCGTGAAATAATCAAAAAATCAATATATATACATATATATATATATATATAGAGAGAGAGAGAGAGAGAGAGAGAAAGAGAGAAAGAAAGAGCGTTCTTGACAATCGCGGCAATCGATACAGCTAAAATTTTCAAAATGATGTTCGTTGCGCGAGATGCAGGACGTTCGGTGAGGAATTTTGTACTCTTCTAAGATCATATCGGCTTGCTGACATAAAGAAACGCGCGTAAACAATATAGAAAGTTCCTATCTTCGGAAATCCATCAAAGATTGAATATGTTTGTACCATAATCAGTGTTATCAATTTATATTTTTGAGCGCTTAGCCTGACGAGACTTGGCAGTGCGACGTGATTTTTTCGCGGCATCGCCCGACGTATCTTCCACGTTAGATCTCCGTTTAAAAGATATTGAAGGCACGGGAGCCTTTGGAGGTGCCATATCCACTATCGGCGTCGACGGAGATTGCGTAACTATGGATTGCTGTACCACTTCGGTGGGACTGTGGGCATCCGCAATGGGAATGAAATCGTGCCCTTCGCCAAATGCATCTGGCAGCACTCCTTGATTGGCTAAAGCTTGTAAATCTTCTGTAGGGACTGGCATTGACTGACCACAACCCACACATACTGGTATTGCTGGGGACTTGGAGCGCCAATATTGTAGCTCAGTTTTACACTTATTTAATTCCTAAAATAAACTTTGTGTTTATAAAAAGAAAATATAAATTTTTAATGAGAGTTGAAAGTAAAGCAACCAACTACAATTTAAAAGAATAAGCTGTAAAGCGAATTTCACATATTACAAATTAAATGTTTACTTTTATTTCGAAAATTTTTTTACAAGTACATTTTTTTGGATATAAATACCTGTAAAAGTGTGCTGAATTTTCGTGACGTCTCTTCATTCTTCTTATCATTATCATCCAATCGAGTAGCATATTCTACAATTTGTTTCTGTTGATCCGCAATTTTCGCTTTGCAACTCTTTAAATCCCTGCGCATCAATGTTAACTGACTGTTGTATCGTCTCATGCCTTGTTTGATCTTTCGAATTCGTTTTCGCAAAACCATGTTCGATTGTGGTGGTGATACATTGGATTCCAAAAGAGCGGGATCGTCTGAGCAATGCGACGAAGAACCTTCTTCTTCACCGGCATTACCCGTTTTTCCGTTTCCAATGGTCAAAGGTGTGGAATCCAGGCACATAAATGGTTTACTCACGCTACTAGAAGCTACGACAACAAAATTCACAATAAAATTATATTACAAAAGTATAAGTATTGAATCATCGGCTTACAAGAGAATGTTCCTGCAAGATCCAGAAAGTCGGCACCGAAGTAAGGTATTTCTGGTAATGTTGGTTCAATGTGTTCCTTGAAATATTCCATAGCCATAGTGCTCAGATCAAATAATTCGTCTGTGACTTTGTAAGGTCTTTGTAATTTCGGAGTAACTTTTATATAATGGAGAATACGATAAACTTCATCTAAAATCTGTAAAACAGCAATACTATTTTTATTGTCGTCTCTATGGGTTTGAAAATAATAACGGAAAACTTGGAAAATAAGAGCTGATTGTAAAGGATTATTCTAAGAAGAGCTATTGCTAACAAATTTAGTGTATTTTCTACATGATGGCATATAATGGCAAAAGAATGCATTCGAAAAACTGGGAATATCTAAGAAAAATAAAAAAAAATATTTAAAAAAAGTTTGAATAAATGAAATCTTACTAGTGTGCCAAGTCTAACATATAACATTAGTTTTTATTTTATAAATATCTTCCGTTCTTACTTCGCCAGGGAAAAAACAGCAATGCTTGCGTTCAATGTGTTTGCCGAAACTCATTTGCAGTAGGGTTAGTCGCATATGTAGAGTTTCAATAATATCAGACTCGCATGCTAGCGGATGATTCCGACGCGCGGACTCGCGCCTCGGCATTTGCGCCTTGATAGCCTGAAAACGGCTCAACATTTGAGCTTGCAGCTTTTGAAACGTAGAGTTCAGCATTGATCCACAAATGCGATCCAGTTGATGACAAACCTGTGAACGGAATGCTTGCTATAGTACCATAATTTCATTGAAGAAGTGAATTAAGCACTTGAAATTTTTACCGATACTTACCAAACGCATATGCGCTACCATGTTGAAGCCTAGGTAACCAAAGATTTTCTCAAGGACTTCGACCGGTAAATCCAAGAGATTCAAGTTGCGCGATTCAATAGTGGCCCCATTATTGGATGTGCCAGCTGTTACAGAAGGTTGCTTTTTTAACGAGTTTACTTCTATTTCACCAACCAATCCACTGCCACCGCTACTTCCCATGTTACTTGATTGACGTGTCGACACCATTTTTTTTTGTTTTTCAATAAGCGAGTTTATCCAAAACCTGAAGTGAAATAAACAATGTTTCTTAAATAATAATAATATATACGAAATACGGTACAAAAACATACATGACGCAAGTTCTCCGTCAGAATGAAAGAAATGGATACGCTGTGTGCGTGAATAATTTAATATCTTCAAATTTTATTCTCAAATATTTTAAGAGATTACATAATATAACAAATATTTTATAACAAAAAAAGCGTTAACATATTTTTTTAAGAATAATATTCCTAGAGCAGCAAAATACATTATAATATAAATATACAATTTGATAAACAGTGTTTTGATACGAAAAACAATTTTTGTAATTTCTAGAAAGAACCCATAAATTTCAAGCGAATACATATTTTTTTACTATTAACATACTGTTTATTTTAGCATCTTTTTACTTGACGAAGAAATTTAGAAACGCATTATTACAGTTGCAATTCACAGATGATGGAAAATACAGAACAACACAAGGAGGTTAATCGTTCGAGAATACAGTCTCCATAACGTATTCGTGTCACTAAAGCGTTTTATTTTTCTCACAACAAACAATGAAGTTTTATGCGAACTGTTTCCTTCTCGCGGAACTTGTTTAAATAGCAAACCCCGACTCCAAGTCAACGAACTTTTCTCAAGCGAGCTCTATCGAGGTTCTGAAGACGATTATACGGATGTATGTTGTGCAAGCACTCCACAAACACAAATCGAGCGTAATCACCCGACGAGGAGATTGGACGCGAATCGCGCGCAACATTCGATGATTATTCCAAATTCGAATAGCTGTTAAAACGACGGTTCTTAGATTCTAAGGTTCTTACGTGAGCGGGACGCGCGCTTCGTCACGAGTTCCATTCTGACGAAGCGTTTTCGCATTCGCTGTGAATTATTCGTAGGACGGTATCTTGAGGAGAAAACGATCGCGCGATCACCTGCTCGTTGCGAATGCTCCGGTTACTTCGATCGGGATCTTTTGGGGTCACCCGACTGTTTCGACCGAGAAATGGGATCGGAGGGGTCCGATCAGCCCGGAACATCGCGATCGGCAGGAAATTCGGGAGAAGACTCGACGTATATATTAGAACGGAGAATTCGAAAGGAGGACGGAACACTTTGCGAATCGTTGCGTAAAGATGCTGAGCAACGGTTTCGGTCTTTACTGTGATCAGTGATCACCGTACTCGAATCGAGTCCATTTTTTTCTTATCGCACCGTGGTCGACAGGACCACGAAATCTTCCGTCGTCACTTTAAAAAAGAGAGAGGCTCACTTCGTCAGGGTGACGACTCCGTGTACGTCCCGCGGGGATTCGTGTCGCGATCGCCAGATCGGAGCTGACGAGTCCGCGGTTAAGCCGCGGCCAACTATTAATCCCAGGCCGGGATCGGTGCGAAGGCGAGCGTTTAACGGTCGCGAGTATAACGCGAGGGGAGGTGCAGGCATAAGAGGAGAAGGAGGGAAAAAGAGACCGAGAGCCGCGCGGCGCGAACAAAAAGTCGGGAGTCGAGCTAGGTGTCGAGAGTGTGACGAGGCCGATTTCACTGCGAATATACAGAAGGTATACTACATACTGTTCTGCTCGTCTCGTGGAAGCGAAAGAGGCTGGCCTTCCGCCACCGCCAGTATACCTGGAGCGTGATATCGGGAAGCGCGAGGCCTGGCGAGGCCTCACTCACGATCGAGATGTCTCCCCCGGAACCCGTCGCCCTTGTAAGGGAAGGGAAACCCGAGGAAACGGGCGACGGTGGCAGTGGCGGCGGCGGCAGGGAGGGGGGGAGGCGGAGGGGGGAGGGAGAAAGAGAGAGAGAGGTATCCCGCCGCCGAAGACGAGACGCGAGCGACGACGCGCGTAGAGAAAACAAATGTGGGGAAACAAACCGGGTGACCTGAGAGCGCGCGAGTAATCGATGCACCCGCGCGATCTTCTCTTTCTCTTCGCTATACGAGACCCGTATAGAACGAGCCGCCCGCTCTCGTCGAGAACAAGATCGGGAGAGATAGGGGGAGAGGGAAGAAAGGGAGTCAAGAGCGAGGGGCGCCGAGGGCTTGAAAGGGAGAGAGAGACGGAGGTGATCCGAGTTAGGCGAGCAGAGCAACATCACTGTATCCGCGTTGGCGTTTTCAGCGACATTTTGACGGAGAGACTCCCCCCCGCCGCCTCTCCTTTCCCTCCCTCAAGCTACTCCCAAGCTGCTGCCGCGTTCGTTCTCGCTTCGTTTTACCCGCCGAGCTTCCTCTCCCCATCTCTCTCTCTCTCTCTCTCTCTCTCTCTCTCTCTCTCTCTCTCTCTCTCGCATTCGCGATCGCTCTCTTCTCGTCGTTCTCCTTTTTTCATTCGCTCGCTCGTTCACACTCACCGCTCTCTCTCTCTCTCTCTCTCTCGCCCGTTAAAAGACCCGTGCAATTATGGCGCGGTTACACATAATAATCTCATGACTGAGTGCGAAACTGCCGTTTCTCCTGCAAGCAAACGGAAACGGACGTTTCCCTTTTACCTGCTCACGCTAGCTGTCCTGGACGTGCACTCGCGGACACCCCGCAGCTTGCGTTGCAGCAGTTCGCGGACACAGCTCTCCTTCCGTCTCTCTTTCTCTCGCTCTCCCCCTGTCCGTTCGCGATCGTATCGAAAATAAATGTTGTCACTGGCCGCGACGAGCTGTTGCTAGCCCCTGGCGCGCACGCGAATATCGTAGACGGTGATGGCACGCGGCCCCGCGGCGCACACCCGGGTTCCGCGGCGCGCGGCCGTTGCTACGCTCCAAAGCGGCGTACCGGGGCAACGCCGACGTCGACGGCGGGCAACGGCTGCACGGTAGATGCGCACATACGTATAACCGCAGCGTGAATACGCGCTCGTGAGTCGCGCGACACGCACGCTCCCGCTTCGAGCTTCGACGCGCAGCATGCCGCGCCACCGCGTGTGGCGAATGTGCCACACGACCGCACGCGTGCGCCTTCTGATTGGTCGCCGCGTCTGCGAGACCAGTCCGCTTGAACGTTGCGCACCTGATAAGAGCGCGTAACCGGCGCCGTGGCGCCGATCGACGTATTAGGGACTTTTTGACCGCGGGAATTTCGAGAACGATCGACCGTTGTTCAATGTGGGTCTACACAAGATAGATTTTAATTATTGCTCTCAAGCTAGAGATGAGTGGAAGTAGAAATATCCTGAGTACAGTCATGTAACGTTTTCAGGGATAGAGTCAAGTTTTGGGACGCGCCCCAGAATATCTTTAAAATATCTTGAGAATATCATGTACTGTTATTTGAGAGAAGTGTCAAAGGAGGTCTACAAGAAGTTGCGAACATCCCATTGTCAGTCAAAATGCTTCGCAGCAGCCAATCAGAAGCATCAATACTAATTATCCTGCGAAAAAAAATATATAGATTTAATATAATTAAATATAAATTTTATTAAAATTTAATATAATACTTAATAACGATTCCAATAAATGTGTTTTTATTAAAACCTTATATAGATTTAATTTGGACCATATAATGATCTATATTAAGTTATTAATTCAACTTATTAAAACTTGTTAAGACCATATTTAAGACATATTAATTCAACTTATTTAAAACTTATTAAGATTTAATTAAATTATGTAAATTGGACTTTAATAAAATTTAATAAGGACTTATTAAACTTAAATAAGTTGATAATATAAACTATAATAAAAATATATACAAATATGCATTTATTTATAAGGTTATATATAAAGACTTCATAAATTCTTTATATGAATTTTGATGAAATCTTTATAAAGAACTTATAAGACTTTTATTTAGAATATTATATATTAACTTTTTCTTCGCGGATAGCGATACTTCTGATTGACTGTTACGAAGTAATAATAGCAATTGACATTAGCTGCGTTCAGCAGAGAAAGCAGCTTTGCAACTGTTGCAAAATTCTTTAATATGATTGATCTTGCCCTTACTTCCTCATTAGATATAAATGTATAAGCCATACAACAGTTGCAAAGCTGTGTTTTCTGCTGAACGCAGCCAATGGTAGGTTTGCAATTTATTACCACGCTAATACGGGATCTACAATATAAGTCGGTCCTATCATCTTGAGTGCGGTCCACTTGACACTACAAATGCTTCGAAGCTGTTGAGTGACCAATAGGAAGAAAAAATTATACTAATTGACCAATCTCTCAAAAAATGCTTCAAATCATATTCGTAGTATTAAGTGGACCGTATAGCCCCTGAGTCGTAGAAAATTGACTAATTATGTGTGCCTTCCAACAAGCGACACAATCAAGGGTGAGCAAATTTGAAATACAATGTATTCAAATACATTTTTGTATTTTGTATTTAAATACTTTTTTGAGTATTTCGTATTTTAAATTTGTTGTAAATACTAAATATACATATATATCAGATTCTCGGTGATGATATACTTGGGAATCCGAGATCAAAAGTTAAAGACCCTATAATGGAGGCGTTTCGATATTCACTGCCAATGCTGAAATTATCTGGAGACACGATAGTGTCTTGGCGCTAAGTCAGGCGCAGCAACACTCTGCTATGATGGCTACTTTACGCGAACCGACGAGTTGCGGCAGATTGAGATTATCAGATCTCAATAACGACTGAACTGATCAAGTTCTACATATATACACTCAATCGATAGCCACTGTTTAAATAATAAAAGTGCTTTTATTTTTTTTCTAAGTGCCCTACGAGCGGAGATATCGCGACGCAAAGTCCGAATCTGTAACTTTTCACATCGTTTTTAAGATACGTCGTTGTCATTATTATTATTATACAGTTTACGTTACGTGCGCTATAAATTTTAAGCTGGCAGTGAAATCAGAACGCACCCAAGAAGAGAGTCGCTACGTGATCCAAATCTTTTGATTGGCTCGGAGTGCATGGACTCGAAAATATTAGAGTGACAGGAAGATATATATATAAAAGCCGCAGCTTGTGTCACTATTATAGCGATTACAGACCGGTACCAACGCGATATTCGTAGCGAGTGACACGCGATATTCAAACGTATAGCTTTAGAATGAGAACATCAGTAAAACTGTACGCTCATTTTTCTTTAAATATGTTTTAAAAGGTATTTTGTATTTAAATACGATTTTTATATATTTTTTCTACTCCTGCATTAAATAAGTTTAAATAAAATTGGAAAACAATGTTTTGTATTTAAAAAAGAATAAAAAACTATGTATTTAAATACATTTTTTTTAGTATTTTGTATTTAAATACAATTTTTTTTAGTATTTTGCTCACCCCTGAGTACGATATAGTGATCGTCTTATCTTTGTTTAACAAGGATGTACTATGATTATACTGTGTCACACTAATCATCTGGTCGCTTATTGGAAGGCACCCTATGTCGAATATTCTTTTCATATTTGACTGTAATTTATTAGTTTGCTACTATACTTAAGACCCTACACGACTCCGCATCAAGAGAGTCGTAAACTGTCATAGAATTGTAAGGAATTAATCAATCACAGTCAATGTATAAAAATAATAATTGACTAAAATTGATAAAATTCCTACGAATTAGGGGATCTTAAAGACGATTAGTCATACATAGATGACACGGTGTGATACAGAGTGGTCGCGTTCAGCAGACTCAACAGTTTTACCCCGGATCTACAATAGAGTTTTAAGCCATAATAAATGGGCGAATCATAATCAATTATTCTCCTTGAATTCGACTGTAATTAGTTAATTTCTTAAGGCTTAAAATTTATTGTAGATCCAGCCAATGGCTGCGTTCAGCAGAAGAAGCAGCTTTGCAACTGTTGTAACATTCTTGAATATGATTGGCTTATATAATACATTTAGATCATAATGAGGAAGTAAGAGCAATACCAATTATATTAAAAAATTTTACAACAGTTCCAAAGCTGCTTTCTCTACTGAACGCAGTCAATGTATCAGTACAACCTTGTTGTTAGCCAATGTTAAACAAGGATGAGATGATCACTGTGTTGTACTATGTCGCTTGTTGGAAGGCACACATTGAAAATAACATTTACACACAGACAATTACGTGTCATTGACATGTCACTACATCAATATCTTATTCACACACGTCATACATACACATAAATTTTTGTATCGTAATTATACGTTTTAATTAGACATCTAAATCCAAATTTTAAGAATGTCAGAAGCTAGAAATGGACCAATCACAGTAGTCAATTTTTAGTTTCTGACTTCTGATTTATGACTTGTGGCTTATTGTAGACGGGCCCATTACAGTCAAATGCGAGGAGAATAATTGACTGTGATTCGTCCATTCCTTATAGCTTAAGCTTAAAAACATATTGTAGATACAGGCTAAGACCTTACGATGTCTACGATTTCTATTATAAATCCCGCAGAAAACAAAAATAACAAATTGTACACGAATAATGCGAGATCATATCATCTCATACATGCGACATGTATGGATGTGCTCGACTTTCTAAAACAATCCCCATTTGTACTTCATAGTTTTTAGTGTGTTGCCCAGATGTGCCATTTTATATTTTACACATGCTAACTTATACGGCACGCTATGTCATATGAAAGGAATAGGCAAAAGCAAACGGTGACAGCATTGGGCACGTTTAAGCAGACACAGTGGCTAGCCTGCTCGCTGAGAAAATGAACATTAGTTGTTACTTATAGATCCAACTTGGCCGCTTTGTCGTCTTGAACCCATTGGCTACGTTCAGCAGAGAAAATTAATCCGCTCAGTAATTCTCTTTAAGGCCGGAATCAGACTATATATATGCATTGAAGATTGAGATTGAAGATTGAAAATTGAAATTTGACCAATGAGGATAAAGGAATTCTAGCTCCTATTATTTTGATTGGCCATATTTCAATCTTTCAATCTTCAATCTCAATCTTCAATGCGTAATCTATGTGATTCCGGCTTAATATGATTAGTCCCTACACTTGGATTCAACGGAGAGCGGATGTATATCAATTGTCCATATCGCTAATCATGTAGGTGGTTCGATAAGTCTGCTAAATCTTTATGAGATAGTACTACAATCCATTTAATAATGTGACATCCAGAAGGTATCACTCTTCAAACCCTTCTATGCTAAATTTCAGCCAGAATTGACGCATTGTTCACGTTCGATCATTCGTTTTAAGCGAGCGAGATAAGTTTAGCAGTTGCCGCGTATAAAAAAAAAAAAAAGCAATTTCCATGCAGAATTGCAAAATTAAACTTTAATGATTCTTTGTTCTAGTCTAAATCCGGTCAATAGGATGAATGAGAAATTAATTTAAAGTCCAATTCTGTAATTTTGCACGGAATTCGTTTTTTTTATATTTTTCTCGCTCGCTTGAAATGATGATCGAACGCGCCAATTCTGATTGAAATTTGGTACAGAAGGGTTTGAAGAGTGATATATCAAATGGATTGTGGCACTATCTCATAAAGATTTACCAATCTTATCGAACCACCAACGTAGCTAATTTGGAAAAATATAATTTTATCGGTAAAGCAGTCAAAAATTTACTAAGAACCAGCCGATGTGAGTGATGTGTACGATTAAACTATGTACATGTGCATTGCTCCCGTGAAGAGCTAACGGCAAGAACTAATTATATTAAAAAATCACTAAACGCTAACTGATACGAGCTGAGTTTGATTTAGACGCTCATGCAATTTAAGCGCTTGTAATCACCATTTTGTCTTTATTATTAGGCGCAAACTAAAGATAAAAGTGCTAAAAGCGTCCAAATTGAACGCAGCCTACATTTTTCTGTTAAACAGCTATTGGCCAAGTACAAATGATACGTCATGCAACACACATTTTACGTGTCTTAAATAACACAATTTTGTATTTTGAAATTTAATGCTGAAAATCTATATATAGTCTATATATCTATATATAGAAATATATGTATATAGAATATATAAAATCTATATATATCTACGTATATATAGAAAATCTATATACGTACACTTTACGTACACTACAGATTTTCAATATCTACTTACAATGAATATCGGAACACAACCTTTATTAAAAAAAATTTATTTACTTTGAAACACAACTTCGGGGTTGACACACTTTACAAGCGCGAAATGCTACGCTCTTTATTATAACGTTCTTTTCTCAGGTAATTATTCTTACGAGTTAATGCATCTCCGTTGTGGCTATCTATTGGTGGAGATGCAGAGTACATTTTTGTTGATATACAGAGTATATTTTAGAAAGCACCCGTATGAATAATATAGCGCTATTTTTTATTTTAAAAAACTGAGTCTAAAACTTATAAATTATTTCGCAATTTCCGCGATTTTTTTAATTATTCCATAAATATAATTATGTTTAAAATTAACGCATAAAACAACTTCAAGAAATTTTTAAAAGTTTATCTTTAAAATATTTCGTAAAAAATATTCAAAATATCTTAAAATTATCCTATTTATCGATTTTACCCGCTTATTCAACAATATTTAGAAACTAATAGCTCGTTAATAATTGCGAAAATAGCAAAATAGTTCATAAGTTTTAAACTCAGTTTTTTTATCAGGAATAACGCTATACGATTTAAGAGTGCTTTTAACATACACTTTGCGTACACGATAAGTATTTATATACACTATTTTGAACATTTGGTATGTGACCATTCTGTGAAAATTCTTTTACTGTTTCAGGGAATATATACGGCACATTGGGAATATACATCGAATTCTTCATGAATGATTAACTTTAGTTATAGCTGAGATTTACAGTAGCTACAAAGTTATTGCTTTTTTTGCTGAACGCAGCCACTGTCTTATTACATAACGTTTATAAATCTTCTATATTTGAAAACTCAAGAAGCAAAGTATGCATGAAAATGCATTTAATTATTCACTCGACAGTTACATTTATGTAACTCATTTAATTGTCGAGAGAAATAATTTAGAAGTAAAATAAGAAATTGCGTGTTAATTCAACGAATAAGTAGCTAAAATTGCATCTCACGGTGTTAAATGCTGTACATAAGATACGTAAATATCACAAGATAGTTATAATTATTGTATTCATGATCTTCCCGTTTGTTTAGCGGAGAAGTTGCATTGCACACACCATATGACTGATGATACGTCGACAATCGGGCAACCACAAATTGCAAGTCGTATCGCACACATTACCTTACCCGATTGTTATCTCAATTTCTGGCGTTGTGCAATCGGCAAACAATACAATAGCCAAGCAGTTACATTACGCCTCCATCGTTCACCGATGTTGCATTGTTAAGCGTAGCCAATTACGTTAATTTTTCAGAATTCTAGGAGCAATATCTCATCCCAATGTTAACGCATGAATTCTAACGAGCGTGACACTTGACGTTGCACGCGCATTGATGAATTCTTTATCAGACATAATACGCCGCGTAATGCATTTGTTTAACCATATAGAATCAAATTAAATTGCTCGAAACGCTGCTAATAAATTAATCGAAGGAAAACATTCGAATCATTGCTTGATTTGTATGCTCGATCATTCTTACGTAATCTATACTATTAGTGAACGTATTGTTCTTGATACAAATGTTTCAATAGAGCGAGAACCTGCAAAAATTCCGTCTCCGATCATGTTTTGCGTTAATCTCACTTAATCCGTTCTCGCCTTACGGAAATTTCTATTGTACCACTATCCATCGTGTGAAACAGTTGCGAAATCGAGTGCCAATCTCGATGAAATTATCGTCTTTAATGCAGTCTTGTGCAAATTGAGATAGAACATTCCGATATTTTCTTGGAAGTTGTAATTAGTGTAAAAGCAAATTATGTAGCATTAAATGTTTACTTTAACAGCTTTTTTTGATCTATATGAAAGTGTTCTACAAACTGGCACGCGACATTAATATTTTATACTTGACATTATCTTATCATAATTACTTACTACGTTTTTCTATATGTGTATAGTGTTCCATGCATTTTTTACGCGCATTTTCTGCTATTTACGTTTTTTTCTTCTTCAGAAACTACATTGTATTGAAACTATGTCTTTCCATGAATATGAAAAACGTATATAATGCGAGCTATAAAGATCTAATACTCTCATTAAACAGAATCTGACTCTCATCTCGTGTTCTCTCTCTGTCGTCGTTTTCATACATACATATTGATAAACAGGATGTTATTAATCTTTCAATAGCCAATTTGGGAAATGAGATCGCGAATTGTATAACAAATCTGCCGCAGATTACAGTCGCTGGGTCGGATTACGTCGGAGAAACCACAGAGAATAATTTCGCAAAACGGAAGTTGCAGGATACCGAAAAGCGCGCCGGTAGAAAAGTACCGTAAGTTATGCATTACGTATCGCCAGATATATTCCAGAGATTACCATCTAGACTGGTCAAACACTCTGCTAAATGCTAAATAACAAGCAAACATTAACAAATTGCTCGATACTAAACTCGCATAAAATTGCACTCACGAAACATACATCTACACGAAACGTTATATATCGTACAATTTGTTGAAACGAAGATCTTTGGTATCTGATTACCAAAATTTTAAACTAAAGTTAGCAATTTTATTTTTCTTGCTCCTTTACAAAGATGAGTTCAACTTGCGTTAAATTTATTCACTGAAAGACAGGAATCTACGAAAATTATCATTGCTAAAATATGATAAATAATGAAAATAATATTTTAATATTATTGTAAAATGTATATTCTTTTTAGAATCAAAAGGATTATTTATTTCTTTTTTCCTTGAAAAATATAGATAATCATAAATACTGTGACTTGTAAAAAATTCATCAGATATTGTTAAAACTCTGAAGAAGTATTTATATTTATTACAACATGGAGGAGGAAAACGAAGATGACCGTAGATATGCAAATACAGACTCTTAAAACTTGCATATATTATCAGAATAATATAAATAATATATTTTCAAGATAATAAGTTTAAAAAAAAAAAAAACTGCCTGATTCTCAAGACGCATTCGATCAACTTTGCGAATCACTGTACACAGCACAAAAGGAATCATTTGAGCAATCAGCCTGATTTGCCAATTTGGTTATTAAGAGCGGACTTTTGTATGTCAGTTGTTTTTAATTCGCCTATTTTTTACCTAGTTTTCAAAGTCACATCTTGAAATCATTACTCGTCGCATTGATTCCATAGATCATCATGAAATAAATCGTACCTTCTTCCCTCCCCGCTGTTGTCTCGCACATCGCGAAATAGAAGCGGCTCTTATTTAACATGGTCGACCGAGCCGACAGTACTCAGTCTACCACCGACCGTAATAGAAGTATTCACATTACCCCGCTGATTCCTCGACGAATCGGCGAGTCGTTGACAGTGCCGTGGGATTTCATGGTGTACGCTGACGGGGTGAATGATCATGGTGTTTTCGATCATTTATCTTGGCCTCTTTCTCCTACTAGGTGAGACTCCGCTGAATACCGAGCATGGTTTCTTTGAAACGGCGCAAAGAAACCTTACGTCCTTCATCCTTTGGACCTAAGATCCTTCGAAGATGTTTCTTCAAACGATCATTCTCGATTATGTCCGGCATTTTTTGTTTTGTGGAATAAAAATATTATTTACTTGGTTCTGGTGAACTTGAATATTCCTAAGTAAGCAGAGTGACGTTAACAAATGACGTCACTCATAATAACATTTATTTTAGTCTAGTAAACGTGGTTTTATCATTATTTTGCTATCTGGGTGCATGTAATAATTTAAATATATTTTCATAGTGTCCGTACTTAAACAAATTTTACAAATAAATTATGATGATATTTGACATTTTCATTTTTAATAATTATATAAAATAACTAATATCATACAACTATGATATTAGTGATCATAAAACTGTGCTTTTTCGTAGATTTATTAAATTCTTGTTATATTATAGCAAAATACGTCTGTTTGATTGAATTGCAATACTCATTTACTTGTAACAAAGAAAATAATAAAAATATCCAATGTTTTCTAGCAAGCTTGTCATATAAATCTCGCGATTGGAAATAAATTGTGTCTCGTTGGCAATCAATTATAGCTTAACTTACAAACTACAATATTATTCATTATACTGTAAGAGTATTTATGTTTAACGATAAATGGTAAAATTATCTATTTTTATTTTTGAGTATATACAATACGATAAAAATAATTGAATTGTACGACAAAAAATAGTATAGTAATACGTACGGTATATTAATAGCTAATTTAGCTAGACGCACTAGTGCGCACTAGTGCACAATAAAGCCGATGTACATTGATTTAATTTGAGTACAAAAATAGAATGAAAATTACAAAATATTTTATATAACGGCACAATAAAGCGTATTGAGAATTTCATTGTTTAACCGATATTCCTATATTTATATTAAACATATATCTTTGCGTTAATTTATGTATATGGTTTTAACAGGCACTGAGTGCGTCTAATCGAATTCCTTATAAGATATTGAAACATTATAATAACTTTAGTACATACTGAGATGTGCAAATTAATATATGTATAATAATCATTACTGATACAACATGTAAGGAATACGCGAGTTGCGATTAAAACGTTACCGATTATAATCAACTGTATTTTGCTAAATATCGAATTGCTAAATATTATTTTGCTAAATACCATCGATATTTATTAGTTTAAACTTTTATGGTTCAATAAGATTTGATATTGTTTGTTAAATATGTACCGTCGGAAATGTACCGTCATATAAAATTTAACACATTTCATTCACATATCCCAAACGATTCATTCAAATTTATGTGTTAATTTAACACAAAATGAATATGTTAGAAGATTACAAAAATATTATGTAAAAGAGTAAACATAAAAAAGTAATACTAACACAGTTTGTAAATAAATCCTGAAAACATTTTTTCCAGTAAAATTAACATTTATGATATGTTAAATTATATAATATATTTTATTCATTTTTTAGAATTTACGTTTTAAAATACATTACTTTTATGTTATTTTTATGTTATGTTCATTTATAAATCATGTTATTTTAACACTAAAAGTTTTAAATATCAATGTAGTACAAACTATTTAAATAACATAATCACATTATATTAAATTAACACACTCAAAATGTTAAAAATTTAACAAAAAATGTTAACAAGGTTAATTTTAACATTGTTAAAATTGGAATCTTTTCTGACACAAATAGGAAATGCATTTTTACTATGTAACAGAGATCAATAAAAAAGTATGTAGGTATCCACTTTGAGGTAATTTACCAAGTATTGATTTTGCAAGTTCGTAACGCAATATTTCAATTTAGTATGGATATTATGTCAAACTACAAAAACAATTGTTATAACAATACAAATAATGTACAACATGCAAAAATAATGCCAAATATAACACAAATATAACACATGTTCGTTAGATAAATTACTTTAAATTAAATTATCATAAATAAATGTAGTTGTATATATACATCCAATTAGCTGATCAGTAATTTTTTATATATTGAATGCAAAAACCGTTTACATTTCAACATTCTTGAACAAAATCATATATTATTGTTCCGTTCAGAGCAGACAAAATTAGATTTTTATCTGAAGCAACGGATTTTTGAATCATCATACCCGTCGTGAAGCGGATGTTAACTAAACCCCTTGAGCTAAATTAATGTCTCATATTTTCTTAGTAAATCCTCTGATAAAAGCCATGCGAATAGCATTATCATTTTATATCAGTTTCATATGTGTGCGTCTACGTGTGCAGTTTTTGCTGTCATTATAATTCATGTCGTCTGTATACGAGTAATTAGTAGTAATTAAGGAAAGAACCTAGAACTTGAAAATTGCATAAGACCTAATGATCATCATGTTGTAATGCGAGCACATTGCTATCGTTTTTAAGATCCGTTCGCTGCCGTAAAAATGTAAATTCACATGCGATATCACCCTAAGAGATAATGTCCGATGGATTGACAAGTAGCATAGTTAAGCAATATTTAAGAAAAGAATTCGTTTTATCAAGTACAGAAATTATTGCGAAAGTTGATGTTCTGCATGCTTCGAAAGTTTGATTAGAGCATAATTGAATAATTCATTTAATGTACAGAACGAAACATTGTGTATTTAATTTTAAAGAGAAACTCTAACGATATTAATGAAGGTATATCTCATATGCATTTTGCAAATGCACGATTCGCATCATTCTGTCAGATTGTCACAAACGTAACAACTTTGAAACAATTTACGTAGCCACGCGATATCGATTTGTGCAATTTTGTTATACAAGATTGATGAATCGTAATCGTGTCTACACGAATGTTTCAACTTTTTGAAAATTAAATATATTTCAGTCTATTATTAGAACACGGATCTTATTAGCTTTTTTAAAATAAATTAATTAAATTCGATGATTCTCTCGTTTTTTTTTATGTAATGTACGTATTACCATTATTATTATATGTTTGAGAATAAAGAGATGATATTTCTGAGATAAAATTGTTCAGCGATTCTTCAATCGCAGCGATTATTATAGATTCCGTAAAATCTTTTCGAAAAAAGCGTGTATAAAATAATGCGAGACTTCGCATTATTTTAGATATCTCGGACTAATGTTTCTCTTGCATGTATCTCACGTATAATCATACAGCAACAATAAAGATTTTGCGTAATGGAAGGACGCCGAGGAGGATGTTCATCACTCTTATAAGATAATCACTTGAAATCAGACAAGGATTTCCAGACGGTGTCACGTCGACGGTCCTCACGTGATCGTTTGGACTAAAAAAACGAAAGTAATGTTCTTGAGTAATGCATCTCTCGTCGCATGTGCCGAGCAGATGTGAAGAACCTTAACTTAAAACAACCAGGTGACGACTTGGTCACCGAACAAGTAGCGGCAGGAAAGAATTGCGAGTACAGATAATCAAGAAACATTCTAGCGCATAATAAACGCGCAGTAATGGCCAATTGTCTTTTGACAGATAGAGAACTTAAATGCACTTTCAACTTCGGCGAAAATCTTCCGGCGCATTTAATGGCCGATCCGTTAGAAAGCGTGTCGATAATATCTAGACTGACAATAAGTAAAAAATATTAATATACTTCTTATAAACAGTGAGTTTAATAAAAAATTTTAAGTCTGATAGAAATTGAAGATATTGTTTTCTTAATAATGCTAATTTCTGATATAAAATTCTATTAAGAGTTTATATGTATTAATTATAGAAATTTTACACTCTAAATGTTTTGAAGATTGAGTTAGTCTTAAAAAAAAAAGTGAAAACTTTTCATTCTTGATCAAGAATGGCATATTTTCACTTTTTTGGAGTGAGATTCACTCCAAAGAAATAAAATCTCAATACTTTTTTTTTTGTAATAAGACTTTATTTCTTGGAATCGCTTTCGCTTCAAAAGCGTGAAATCTTATTCCAAAAGAATAAAATTTCACTCTTGAAAAGTACAAATCTGCCATTCTTCTTTAAAAGTGAAAATATTTTGCTCTTTTTTTTTAAACTGATCCAATTTTCAGTTTTTTGGAGTGAGATTTTACACAAAAAAATTTAGAAAGTATACACTAAAAAAAAATAATACTTGTTAATATCATATCATTTTATTTTCAGTGTATTTACGTTTTCTAAATGTTACATTATTAATACATTCATATACATATATTATATATATATGTATATATACCCATCTTTCAAATCATTTATTATCGCAATAATACTTGTTAATATTATATCATTTTATTTTCAGTGTATTTACGTTTTCTAAATGTTACATTATTAATATATTCATATACATATATATGTATGTATATATATATACACTCATCTTTCAAATCATTTATTATCGCAATCTAAAATCTATTCTAGCCATGTCGCTATTTTTATTACTCAGTCGTTTTCTTATTTTATAAGGTTTACGTAATATGCGAATTGTAAGTATAATAAACGCTTCGTCTTCTTCAGGTTTCTGCCATGGTCAAAACTTCAGTTATGACGGAGATCAAGGTGAGCTTAATAAAGAAGTTTCATTATCCGAAGTTCATTAGTATATGTGTTTCAAAATGAGATCAATCTTATTTTTATAGGTCCATTGCATTGGGGCGAGGAATATCATTCGTGTATTGGGAAATATCAGTCGCCCATTAACATAGAAGAGCACAATGTCAAGAACGTCAGCCTGTCACCACTGAGATTAATCGGCATTGACAATCCATACCAGTCATACGTGACGAACACCGGTCACACGGGTAAAATTTTCACGGTTGGCTTCTGCATTCGGCATGCTAAGAAAGAAACATTGGATTCGTTCTTCGTTTAACTTGAGGTTTTCTCGCATTAAACGATCCCGCTGGGAAACTCCTCTCACGATCGTGTTCACGAGGATTAAAAGTCAAGAAAAACATTGTTATAACGATACAATCGGGACGATAAAATAAGAAAGAGAGGAAAAAGAGAAAACTTTATACCTTGTAATTATTACCTCTAGTGTATATTAGTAGTAAATAATATAAATGTTGAATATAGAGAGAGGCAACTAAAACGGTCATTGTCACAGACAAAGAACTCGCAAATGATTCGTACATATATTTCTTTACTGACGGTTAAATCATGCTGTAATAATCTTAATCATGTTAATACGTAATCGAGCTCAATCAGATACAGATAGGATCATCAACAATTAAATTTAATATGTGCAGATGTTATTACATAACAAAGATGTCTGTAATAATTGCAGTTACACATCGATATTTTTAATAATTACTATTATATGCAATTTTTATTTTTTCCATCTAGTTATGTTGAAAACCAACGAATCTAAAGCGGCTACGTTGTCCGGAGGACCCTTACAGGATAACTATGTGTTTGAACAGTTGCATTTTCATTGGGGTGAAAACGATTACGAGGGATCCGAAGACTTAGTCAACAATCACTCGTTCCCGATGGAAATGCACGCCGTCTTTTACAAGGAAGATTACAAGTCATTCAATGAAGCTCTCAACCACAGTGATGGTCTGGCTATTTTAGCATATTTGTACGAGGTAAGAAATTATCTTCATGTTTGAACATTTTTTTATTGATATTTTTATACGCAATTATAATTAATCTTTGTTAATAATTGTAATTTTTAAAACAATCTTACGTATCTTATTTTTAATAAAATCACGTAGGTAAGCCCTCAACCGAATCCAGCGTACGAACCTATCGTAAGAGTACTACGTGATATAGAAGTGATGGGTAAGAGAAAAGCATTGCAAGAACCTTTACTGTTGGAAAGTTTATTTGTACCAGACATTGCAAAAATGCAGGACTACTTCACGTATTTCGGCTCATTAACTACTCCGCCTTGTCTCGAGGTCGCTAGGTGGATTGACTTTAAGGATCGTCAACAATTATCGCACGAACAGGTGCCTTAACATAATTTGCAAATACTATAATTTCTTTTAATCTGTGCTAAAAAATTGTCAACTAGTTTTAAATTATGCGTATACGCATGCTGCCAATTTGATACACACACACACACACACACACACACATGATAAAAAGTATATACATATAGATTTCTTGTTTAATTTCAGTTGGCTGCGTTTCGTGACTTACAGACTCCCGAAGGTGATAAATTGACTCACAACTTCCGGCCAGTGCAGCCTTTAGAGGACCGAGTAGTTTTTCATAATATTCCGAAAGAGCAAAACACTCTGAGTAATACTCATCATTCTGATGGGCATTCAGGACAACGGAATGTTAAAATACCAATTCTATTCGTCGCATTGGGAGCTCTTGTGGCAATCTTTCTGTTTGCCATATGAAATTCTTAAGATGAAATATTCTAGTCAAGTTTTTCAATTGTCATCATAACTTTCAAATTAAAAGAACGATAGATTAGATATAAAATATAGCTACGGTTCGATTTACATTGATAATACTTATATGAGCGTCATTGTTCAATTTTTTGATAAACATTAAGGATGAAATGATGTTCAATGAGCGTGAATCGAAACGCAGTCTTGTTGAGTAATTATTACTAAACAATAAATAATCCGATCTAATTTTATATTGTTTGAAGGTTAAGATTAATTGAATAAACATAAAGCAAATTTTCATGACGTTACATAAACATAATAATATCTAATGTGATATGCTTTTTTAAATTTGTATAATTTATTTGTTAATATTAATATATCGAGACAAGAGAACACACACAGATCCATCAACTAAAATATTACTTTATTATACAAGACAGTTGTGAGTTGTGATATATAAATGACATATAATATATGAAACAATTGCCAAAATAAAATGTCTGCATTAACCCTCTGCCAACAACTGGAATCTTTAAAGCAGAGTTGTATTTACGTTTATACATAAAATATAATAATTTATATCTACATATATAATATAAATCATGTTTTAAGTGCCATCTATGTAAAGTAAACAAAATATAGATTATTGAAGTCTATGTTTTTTGTCGTATTAGACTGCATTAAAGCTTCTATCTCTTCTATCTTCTATATATTTTAATAATTTAATTTATCAATACCAAAGTATATCAGATATATTAATTAAAATATAATTTTTTTTCTCTATAGTGTGCTATCTGATTAATAATAATATACATATTTTACATTGCATATTGGCTACATGAAAGAGAATCATGTAAACAGAATGACAATAATATGTAAAAATTCCTTGCAATCTTAAAATATATGGTACAATCTTACTTTAAGGCACCATTGATAATTTAATTATAAATTTTGTCAGATAAATTAACCCTATTAACAAATAAATAAAATATATGATTTCTATAATAGTATGTTGATCTGATTTTTAGAATACTTAAATTTGTTGTTAAAGCTTTGACAAATATATCAAAAATTTTTTAGATTTTTGTATAATTTGGATTAATAACAGTTTTCAGAAATTCCTCAGAATTGTTATTAAAAGAATTTAAATTCATGATACCTGCAATAAGTTAAAATTTTAAAACAAATTTATATCATTTTCTGTATGAGCGAGTTCAAGCAAACAATTATCTAATTCTTACGAAAGTTATATAAATTATTTAAATACTCCATGTGTTATGCATGAGATATAATGATGATGAATTATGAGGACTAATTAATTAGTGGACTATTAAATATATATTCTATAAATAAAAAATACATAATTTATTACAAAATATACATATATTTTTGATAACAATACTATGATTCTTCATGATTATTTACATAAGCTGCTAGATCCTGTTGGCCTCGTTTGAGACGAGTCCTTACTTCTTCTGCTATCGCTTTTTGCGTTCTCCTTTCTAACATTTCTAATTTTTTGGCTATATCTCGTTTTAAATCCCAATCAGGTTTTCTCGGTGCTAAATTACTAATATCCTAGTAGATAATAACAATAAATAAAAAATCAATTCTAAGAAATCGTAGAATCATAAAATACTGCCGTAATAAGGTATAGCCATATCGTGAAATACATAATGTTTTATACAAAAGCTTTAATAAATTATTTTGAATCTAATGATTTTTCCAAATCAATTTTTAATAAAAATATCGAAGGTCTACTTTGTCATCAGTAGGTAAGAAGTGGCAGAAGGATACATGCGGTGTAAGACATTTTCCCTCCAACTTACCAGTTCCTCGATAACCACTTTACTATTTGCAGCGTCCAGCTGTTCTTGAACTACAGATTCCACATCGCCGGGCTTTGCATCCTCGATCATATTATTCTTCAAGTTTTCATCCTGCGGTTTGTAACTTCGAAATTTTGGTCTGAAAACACAAGACTTTGAGCAATTCGACAGTGATGTGAGGTTAGACTTAAACTTGTATACTAAAATGAAGTTTACTTCGGCAAGTTTTCAATCGTGTCATTAGCACTTTCTTTGCCCTCTTCATTCTTTCTCTTGAGCGCCTGGAGCCGTTCTTTTCTCTTTAAAGCCTCCTCCTCTAACGAGCCAATTTTCTCCTCTGTCATTTTTAAACACACATAAAATTACAGTTTACAGTTGCCACTCCGGTGTGAGTGACACTAGTGACTCTAGGGTAAAAAGTTTGAACAACTGTTGGGAATCCATATTCCTAGAGGAATTTTTCGCGCGTACATACACAGCAAATTTGATTTGAATAAAAACATACTGACGAGTTATTTAAAAAATAACTTACTGAGTTACTAAAAAAAATTTTTCAAATAATATATATTTATTAGGTTGTTCGGAAAATTCGTTTCAATTTTCTAGCTCAAAATTGTATAGACAATATCTTTGTAAAAAATTAACGAAATTTAAATTAAAAAAAAAGATTTTAAAGCTTGAAATCTGCACTTCCCAAAAGTTACTATATTTTTTGAGTTTCTGTGAGTTTGATAATTTTTACATATAAAAAAACTATGAGCTGAAAAAGATGAAAAATTTTCTTTTTACTTGTAGATCTTTCACGTACCCTAAAAAAAATTTATGAAAATTTTCGCCTACCTATCGTGAAAGCTTGAATTCAAGTTTTCACGATAGGTATAAAAAACAATTTTTGTTCTTGAATTATTCGCGAGTTAATTAAAGGAACATTTTGACTTTGATTGCTTATAACTTTGTTAAAAATTATTGTACCGCAATTAAGAAATCAAATTCTTAAAACTAAAACTTTGCTCTATCGAATGGTATAATCGCTAATTTCTTAAATGTAAAATATACTGAGCTAGAAAATTTGAAATGAACTTTCCAAACCTAATAAATAAAAAGCTATTATTTATGTATAAAATATTATTAAATATTAAGTATACATTTTTTTATACAACAAAATAATTAAAATTGTAAAAAGTTAAGTAATTATAACAGAATTTATTTAAAAATGATAATTACCGAAATAATTATTGACAATAATTTCAGTTTATATTTTCACTTTATATTTTGGAGATATATGTATTTGTGTGGTTTGTTATTAATATTAATGATGTTAAAGTTCGTATCAATTTTTAATGATAAGTTATCAAACTTAATAAAATTAAATATTTTAGAGTTAACTTTTTTGAAATTAATTTATCTTGAATTTGCGATTCTCTCTCTTATATCTCAATAACTTATACAAGAGAAAGGAGAGATCATTATTCTCTCATTATCGCAATTTTAAGGTCAATATGGTCTTTTACAAAGTTTTAATATCTATGTATTTATTAAAAAATACATATTGTATAATATTGACATCTTTTGATTAGATTTTTTCTGAGATTTATATATACTTATTTATACGTTTTAATAAAGTTTTTACATTTTTACATTTCTTGATTTACGACGAAGTATAAAACGATCGCTTTTAAACAAATTAGTTTATTAACATTTATACACAAGAGTTCGTACAATCCAGCATCAGATAAATTATAAGCAAATTATATCGAGATTACATCTAACGCTATATCTATATTTTATTATAATGTTATTTTAATTTTAATGTTACGTTCAGTCGCGCAAGCCGCAGCTAGCGCTTGTAAAGGACTCGCATTTATGAACGAATCACCATCAACTTTCGCTCATGTAGTCACTCTCGCCGAAGGTGCATCGCATCCAACATCAATTTCAGTTTCGAGACAAAGCTTAAATCTTTAATCAAGGCGGATTTATCGTTACTCAGCGCAACGTTAGATTTATGTAGCGTTACCTGTAACGCTCGAACATCAAATCGAACAAATAAATAGCGTTGCGGAAATGATTCATGATGTTATCAGATTTATTAGAGAAAGAATTTAGCGAAGAAAAAAAAAAAAGAATATCAAAATGCATTCTTTCCAGTACGAATAAAAAAAATGCATATCATGCGGGAGGTAACAAGAAAAATTATAATAGCGCGTTTTCGTTTGATGATTACAATATGATATATATACCGAAGAGACGTGATAGCTGATAAATGAATGTGATTACTTACAAGTTCGAGTAAATTTTTAGTAAGACAAGAGAGATATGCCCGATGTCCCACGAGATTCACCGATTCGCCCGCCGGGTGAAATCACGGATCTGTGCCAAACGTTTGTGAAATTGAGGACATACACGTATATATATATACACGCGAGAGATGTGTCTCTCGCGTCGGCGGCTTCCTCGTCGGCATTGTGTTGTACCCGGCGGGGAAAGTTTATTTACAGTCGAAGAAGCATTTTCAATCCCGATGCGCGGCTCGATGCACGACTTCGCGAGACCCCTGATCCTGAACAAGCTCTCCATGTGTATACGTTTGTATGCGTGTGTGTGCGTGCGTCTTGTTAAAACTAACTCAAACAATATACACACAGGCTATATTGTAAAACGTTAGCGCTAATCAATAGAGTTTTTGATCTTTAACGAACTTGGATTTGGCCTTTTCTCTACGGAAATTCGACTGAGAAAGTATAATTATAGGAATTAATTACACAGTTGGAAAATTGTGTTAAATTTAACACGTCTCTCAAACGGTCTACTCTTTGCGTTAATTTAACATAAGATGAATATGTTAGAAAGTAACACACATAAAAACATTAACACAGGAAAGTAATACACAATTCATAAGCGAACTATGGAAGCGTATTTTTTCCGTAAACTTGATATTTATGGTGTATTAAATTAACACACATTTTAAACATTTTTTTTTTATCATAAAATTTATGTTTTAAAATACATTGCCTTTATTATTTTATATTATTTTATTTTTTTATGCAGGTATTATTTTATTTATCCATTTACTCATAACTTGGGTTACTTTGACATTAAGAAAAAAACGTTGGATAACAATTTAGTACAAAATATTTAAATAACACATAATCACATTATGTTAAATTAAGACTCAAATATGTTAAGAATTCCACACAAAATTTTAACAAGGACTTGAGTGGACCGTTTCCAACACAAAAATATAAAATATTTTTTTACTGAGTATATTCTACGAAATTTAATATTTTTCTTAGAATATAAATATTATAAATAATCCATTAGGTGCACATATCAATAGAAATTTGGCATAAGCAGTAATACATAACATTATAGAGTTATTCTACTTGACATATGATATGTTTAAAATTTTGGGAAATTTGCGAGTCGAGATTAAATCACGAGACATTTTTCTTTCTTGAGCGTAATCATGGTCAAATCCAAGTGAAACGTACTAACTAATGCGAGTCCGGCGAGATTCTCGCCTTCTTTCGTGTCATGTCAAGCGCATGGATTAATCCTCCTCCTGTTAACATAAATATGCTTATTGCTACGGTTACGTGTTTTATGATTACGTGCTTCTTCGCGTTCTCTGCCGCTGAGAGAGTGCTCTCGCTATTATCAACGAAACTGGCAGTGCTCACGTCGCAGGCGCCGTATCAAGAATGGAAGAGAAAATCAAAAGGGGGCGAGGAAGTGGAGCTGGAGTCACACAATTATATACAGTGTTTGCGTCGCAAATTAAATGCGAGCTTGCGTAATCGGGTATACGCCGTTACATTGGCGGATCCTTGTTGTAAAATACATACAATCGTAATTAATACCATTATCTCGCTAAGAGAATAGCTTCCTCGTTATGCCAATTCTTTTCCCTCCCTGAAGCGTTATTCGTTTATTGTGTCTCACGCTTCTATCATCGAAATATAACGGAGAGTAAAATTTCGCGGAGGTAACTCACCGAGGGCAAAACGATTCGCAACGATTCGATTTCACTTGGATTATTGGTATTCAAGGTTACTATCGTCATGACTCGCGTATATGTACTATAACTTACCAAGTCATCCTGCGTCCTCTTGCAAGCTATAAATAACTGTTCTCTATGTATACGTGTATATGTATTGACTTTGTCATCAGCGTACGTGTATTTCAATGCCATCAAAGGTTTGAGAAATTAAAGGATACTTATATAAGAATAGGTCAAGATAGAAAGAAGCGAATGAGGATCGGAAGAGAGAAGCATGGGAGGAAAGATCGAAGAGATAGAGGGACAGTGAGAAAAAGAGAGAGCTCGATTTCACCTTGCTAATATCGTCTTGTAGTGATTTACACGACTCGTCGAAGTTTTACGTCCATACGTTTATCTGTCTATTCACGCGCTGCCCAATTTGACGCGATTATTCGTATACTGATAGTTCTGGTTGGGCAACGCGCCAACATTCAGCGCTAATACCTTAGACACGATGTTGAGGTCCTCGCTACCTTGGCCTTGAACATTGCCTAATTCGCCAGCGACTCCTGACTGATAAAGCAAACGCTGGATCTGTTTGGCGGGCGTTTGCGCCCTTGTTGGAGTCTGTCTGAACTGCAGGTAAGGATTGTAAACGAACGTATTAGGGCTCCTTGGTATCACGTTGAAATTGACTGCGTTCCTCGACGGAGGCGGTTGCTTGTTATCCAGGTTGAAACCGAAATTGCCGACCGCATTAAAGGCCTCCTGTCTGTTAAATCTGGTAGCCGGTGCTATGGGTGGCTGGAAGTCATTCGTGGTAGGAAATGAAACAAAATTCTGTTGCAATCGCTGCGGTTGCTGATGTTGGGGCTGCGGTTGCTGATGTTGAGGCTGCGGTTGCTGAAGTTGGATTTGTGGTTGGGGTTGTTGACGGAATTGCTGGAAATGCAACTGCTCCTGATAGTTGGTGCGAAATAATGGAGGCGCTGCGATGCTGGGAACTTCTAGAGACAAACTCGGTTGAAGATGAATGGTAGGTTCCAGAGGTGGTTGAAGCGACAATACATTCGACTGTTCGAAGACGTGCGGTTTCTGCAGCAATGGAAAATGATTGTGCTGATGCAAACGATAGATCCTCTGCTCCTCCAGCTGCTTCAAACGCTGCTCCTCCAACTGTTTGATTTTAGTCTGTTCCTCCAAGTGCTTGATTCTAGTCTGTTCTTGAAAATACAGTTGTTGCTGCTTCTGCCTCAACTGCTGTTCATAAAGTTGACGTTGCCTGATGAGAAACTGCGTTTGTTGGATCTGTTGCTGTTGCAACTCCACCAGCTGTTGCTCCAGTAATTTCTGCTTGAACTCCAACTGTTCCTGAAGCGTCAGAGCCTGTCCATCGCCCGATTGTCTGTAAATTGGCACAATGCTCTTCGGTCTACCAAGTTCATCCTGTTGCACTGTAAAGGCCGCCACCAGAGGCGCTTCGAAAATTTTCACTTCCTCCGCCCTAGACTTTTCCTTATTAGTGCTAGAAGACGAAGTAACATTGCTAGGCGAAGCTGTTGGACTAGATGCGGTCGGTTTTGGTGCGATTAGCGCATTGGCGCTGGTAATTCCGTTGCTGGCGCTTTGCGTCAAGCTCTCTGATAATTGCGTAATCGGTTTCAGCGTGATACTCTCAATCTTGCTAACCGTGGCCGAGCCTACGGAAGTTTTCTTTATTTCCATCGGTACCGTTATAGATTCAGTTCGAGGCGTTGTACTCTTATCTGACCGAGCCACGTTCTGCACGTGGTAGCTTCTGGCGTCATCGTGACTCGCCTTTTCTATCATCGCCGACGAACTCGGGGAATACTTCTTTGACTCGAGAAAGCTCGAATTTTGCAATTTTTCCTCATTGGGGATTTCCTCATCCCCTGGAAAATCATCGAACGAGAAGGAAGCTTTCGGTATCACGCCGATGTTCTTATTTAGATTCTTCTTTACCACTTCATCGAAAGACTTTTCAATAGTCATAATGAGGGTTTTCTCATCTTCATCCTTTCGTTGCTCCGCGGATTCGGCTTCGAGTTCCGTCAGCGCTTTCAGCAACGCTTGCCGTAGGTTTTTGTCGAGTTTTACTGGAGGCGGTGGAATTTCGAAAGTCTTAGCTGAGGTTTCAGATTTCTGAGACCTAGCCAGACTGAGGCAGGCTGCTGCTACTAAAATTGTTATGGCTACCTGCAATATTATAATAAAATATTTAGACAATGCAGTATTAAATAGATGACGTTTATTGATAATTATTAAGCCTCGATACTTTTTTAATTGTGCGATTACGCTAATTGTTGTAGCTAAATTTGCCTCCATGTCGCTAATAGATCGATTTCTTCAATCATTATCGAAGCCTTTAAATGCATCGTTAGAGAAAAGATAAACCAGTAGCACAGAATTGATTAAATGTGATGATATTGACGAGATTTTGATGACACAAAAATGGCCATTTATGACTGGGTTTCACCATATTGATTCGAGAGAGATTGAAAGCTAAAGTCTCTGTCCGCCTCAGTCTATCTCCGTGAGTCCCGTTATAAAGTGGAAGATTCACAACGGCCCGTAGGCGATTTTCTCCTCCTAAAAACATGGTAAACACGTACCTATGGCTTTCGAGCCGTATGAGCGAGACCAGCGATTTGCATATTTTATGTAATTACGCGAGAACGCGCGTACATGCCTACCGAAAAGACGCGCACGCATGATTAAACTCATACGCATACATATTCTTGGAAAATTGAAAATTGTATATAGTAACAAGAGTATAATAATAGGCCTGATGTAGTAAGCTTTTAACAGAAGCTATTTCTTATTATTTTGCAGGTCAAAGTTGTTTTAATGTTATATATTACGTATATTACAATATTACTATAAGTAAAAGGATACATTTTTAAAGTTTTATCAATCTTCTTAGGTTGCATTCCTAAGTTGTAAGATTATTTTAATTTCGCGATTTAATTTATTGTTCACTTTTTTCTAATTCTAAGGATTAGAAAGAGGTGGAGAATAAATTTATATATAACCAAGATTAAAATTAATCTTACATTGATTAAGGTTAATCCTACGCCGTTAACTTTAATCTCGATTCAACTCGTTATCTTTTTTTAATTTTTACAATTAGCAAATTATAAAGAATAAATAGAATCGAGATATATTAAAGTTAATCTTATATTGATAGTGGAAACATTACTTGTCATTTAGGATAATAATTCGATGAGTTCAGAGACAAAGAAAACGAGTACCTACCGAAGAGGAAGGAAACGATAAACGCGAGAACTCGGCGGGGATTCTATTATGTTTCTGTTGAACTCGAATGCAATTAGAAGCGCGTATCTTTAATTACGCACGTGTATAGAGTGCATATGTGCGGCTCTTGGGAATAAACTTTGATATTTAAGTGGAGAGAAACTCGGATGGCTGCCTCAGAGCTTTGTTATATTACCTCAAATAATCGAAATCCAGCACGTTGATGACTATTCATAAAAGCGCTCAAGTTCTGTATGAACGTGCTCTATCTTGACTCTCGTAAAATTCTCAAAGTATCGTCAGTTTTATTGCGTACCAGTATTGACGAGTAACGTCTAGCGTTAATATAAGTGCTTTGGGACGTTTCACGTTCTCACGGTATTAAATTATATGAAAGTAAAAGTAAATATATCGAAAGTGCTCAAGAAATTTTCTCTACGCTCCTTTTGTTTTTAAAAGGTTTTAAAAGGTTTTGTGAGATTTAAAGTTAATAATGGACACTCGTTTTTTTTTTGTCGTTATATCCAATACTGTCCCTTTGGAGAATGAATAGCGAATAACAGCGAATAAATTTTTTTCTATCAATCCATTAGCAATAATCATCTTGACTTCGACGCCTACAATTATTTGTTTTCACACCATCTTGGGTAGTCAACGGACAATTTGGGAAAGTGCTGCCTTTGATGATGCTTTTACGTTTAATGGCGCGTTTTTTTCGTTTCCATCATAATGACACATGACGATGAACAATACGAGAGACTTTTCAAACAGTGATAATGTTTGATCATTCATTATGAAGGCAGTGTTTGGATGCTATTTTAAACGAGATATCGCACGATCCGCCAGTTTTATGCTGAATTTATTCAAACGGATCTACAACGTAATCCTATAGACAGCACGAACGACTACGCCCTGGAAAGGCCACGAGCTATCTATCGGAAGCGATTTGTGGGTTTTGAACTTTCACCCCGATTACGATCCGTCAAATTGCCGCGGTGGGAGCTTCAGTATGACGCGGTCGCATGCGCGTCGAGAAAATTCCGTTTTCGCTGGGTCGTAAAACGATGAAGGATCGAGGAGAGGAATTATTCAAGAGAGTACCGTCAACCATAACTCCCCTGTCAACCATCAATCGGAGAAAATACCTAAGTAGATTCCTCAGCGTTAAGCGCGCTATAAAGTGCGTAAACAAAGAAAAAAAAAAAAAAGAATTAAGCGCTATAACCATGCGACTTACACGAGAACTACCTCTGACATTTGTAAAGAAAGTTACACCACACCCGGAGGAAACAACGGGACGACACGCCGGGTCAACGACGTAAACGTGAAGAATTATCAAATTATGTATTCATCGCGCAACATGCCCGCTTATAAATGCCGGCACTTTTGCCCAGAAGGGGAAAGTCTATTAGACGCCTGTAAAACCATGTAATTTACACATAATAAAACGGGGAACCGCCACGTTTAACGCTGCTGCTATGACGCAGCAGAATTGTCCCAAGCTTGCTCTTCCTTTGATACGATCTCGCCTGAATGGTTAATTTGATTTCCAAGGGAAACCTTACGAATCTAATCTGATTTCAATGAAATTTTGTCTGTTTTCTGTGGCTGAGCTGGTATATACTTTTGAAACTTAAAGTGAGGTAGGTATATGGTTGATATTTGGAGAAAGAGAGAAAGAGAGAAAGAGAGTTCTACTGCGGTTTAAAGCAGGAATAAAAAGCAAATAAATAATAATTTGTTAGAATCGTATAAAAGATCTTTTGCTTACATGTACACGAACAAAAATGTTTGGCTGATCGATTAACTGCAATTCTGGTGGAAAATGAACGATTAAGAATTCTGGTTAAATCTATCTACTAGAATTCTAATGGATTTAACCAGAAATCGAGTAGACTTGAAAATTTTGAAGAAAAATGGCTTAATTTTCAATCTTTAAAAGTGAGATTTCACTCTTTAGAGTGACAATTCACTCTAAAAATTTTAGAGAGTACGAGGGATGACTTTATCCTTTAAAACTGTATTTAGAGGGTGATTAAAAATTTTATTTAATTCACCTATTTATTTTAAAATTTCATTAAAAAATCAGTATTAGACACTTCGCGAGGTTGCCTTGTTCGTAATCTCTTTAGAAACAAGACTGAGGATATGTATTGCGTGAGCACAGCGGAGGCGTAAGATCATTAGAATAGAATGTTCATAAAGCCTTTTGTTCACTTCGAGTCGCATACATATACCGAATATCCCATCTCCGCGACTATAAACTTGGTGGAGCATTGACAGTAAAAATGATGGAGCGGCACGACGCATACCAACGACTAGACAACTTTGGGAACTTTCTAAACTCGTAACAAGTAAGTATCCTCCCGATATTATAAGTTATATACCCTGTGTTGACTTCCCATTTATCTCCAGGTCATATATATACAAATGGAAGGGACTTGCAGATGTCGTATCTTTTAATAACGACCTGGATGTTAGAAACTGATTCATGTCGTGCACACTTTTGACATTATGGTTTCACTTTCGAAACTCGCCGACTGAGAATCCCCTGTCTGATACACATGGCAGTCACCACCGCGACGGATTTATAGATACACGTTAAGTAATTCCCCACCGCACGTAATTGCAGAAACGCTAATTAATCAACGACAAAAAAATCGAAAGCCACATAAATATGTATATATGCGCTAGGAAAGAAACTATCACGAGTAGGAAGAACGTTGCCCGCGTGAGAGACCGCGTCCTCCAACCGGTTGTTAAAAGGATCTCGGGATTTCGTATTTGGCTATCGCGAATCTTTGATTACGGATATTTTCGCATGGCGAACTCCTGACCCGTCATTTTCCATTGCGGAGACTACAACGCGAGTTTCACCGCCTACAAAATAGCTACAATGCTGAAATTGACAACACAAATGCGCGATAGAAGATAGCTATTGCAAGCGAAAACCTCGGATTTCGCGTTGATTAATTTATCCAACGAGGCAAGCCATGCATCTCATTGGATTAAAATTCAGCGCCATGAATATTAAGATAATATTGAGATATTAAAATGTTGATGAAAGTTTAATTAAAAATCAAAAGTCGTCCCAATTCCATTCAATTAGATACAGATTTTAAAACAGCATACGAGCGAAATCAACAACTGAATGTTTGACGAACAAAAATAGCCTCAATTAAGTATATAACGACAAACATTAACAACTGTAAAGTTAATTACTTCATGATGATAATCAAATTGAAACAGTCGAGTCTCAATTATTATAATCATGCATTTTCCAGACCTCGCGACATCTACTTTATTCGGAATGTACTGTGCCATTATAAAGTAACTGGTTTTCAAACAATGTAATTAACCCTGAGTCATGTATCACGGATTCTTATGTCGTGCATTGCTAGACATAAGCCAATAATAAAATATAATTAATGGAGCCTTATAGATACACGGAAGAAACAATTTTGACGAAGTATCTAAAAATTTTTTAAATAGTAAGAGAAAAGCACAAAGTAGGAATAGAAACCTACACAGAAAATTAAACATTCAATTTATAGATATAGTTTTGAAAATAATTTTATTGAAAACAAAATTGTATTTTCAAATCTATATCTGGCTAAATTTTTAGATATACTTTTCGACGATATCATTTTTGAAATATAAATATAATTATGTCGTTTCACTACAAGTCTCAGATTCAACGAGTGTTATAAAATAAAATCACACAGAGAGAGGAAAACGTTTTGATTGAATTAACTTCAATTCTAGAATGGAAAATGAACGATTCAAAATTCTGGTTAAACCTATTAGAATTTTAATAGATTTAACAAAAAATTCAGAAAAATTAATTCAGAATTCCAGTTAATTCAACCAAACATTTTTCTCCCATATCGTACGATATGCTCGACGAAATTGATGATCGCAAACATAAGTCAAACGGAACACGTGAATAACAAAAGGGATACCGAGAGACCTGTCGCGTTAATCGAAGAGAAGTTCTTTTCACGCCGCGCGCGATCGGAGTGGGGAAACAGCGTGAGAGAACTCGTCACGTTGATCCGGCTCGCAATAAC